ACTTCATAATCATGAATAGCAATCTGTTTTAAGATCGTGTGGTAAATTAATATCTGATCCTTTTTTAAATAAATAAAAAAAAACAAGTAATATTTGCTACTGCACACACTATCTTCTAAATATAAGTTTCTAGATTAAGATTTTGGAGTATATAGTAAAGTAGTACAATACTGAACGCAAATTAGGAAGAATTGCAAAAATCATGATAGTACGTATGGTTTGTTAAAAAAAATTTGTCAAACCAATATTACTTCTTATTCTTGCCCATACCTAACAAGAAACAAGGACAATACTAGCGTTCATTCTAACCTTAACCATAAAAAGTAATTTTTCATAAAACTGAATTTTACAAGTCTATATTAACCATACGTATGATCAAAATTTACTATACAGCAAGACCATAGTACTTTCCATATCAAAGTATCCCCTTAAAAAAAATTTACAGTAGAATATAAAGTACCTAAATATTTTAAAAGCAAAGTAGATTTTTGGTTTGTAAAATATTTGGATATTTGCTATGTAAAATACCCAGTATACCAACTATGCAAAATATCTAGTATTATCATTATATTTAATAAAAAGCCAATAAATAATAGATATAAATATTATAGAATTAATAGTATTCTAAATTTATTATAAATTTTAAATCTTAAATGAGTATTGCAAAAGAAAATCTGTAATTTTTATTTAATAAGAGTTATAGATTTTTTTTAATTATTTATAATACTTACTAATGTTTATTACTTAATTAACTAAACTGGCTAAGCTAATTTTTTAAATATCAATTTAGCTATCACATAGTTGATTCAAAGCAAAGTTTTTAACTTTTTATATCAAGCCTTATATGCGTATACAAATAAGCTTTATACTCAATTGAACTAATCAAATATTAAACAAATATAATATGACATTATTCTAAATTACTATTCCCTTCATTATCTTCACTTAACCTCATATTTTCAAGATTATTATTGACAATATTGATTTCTTGAGATTCTACTAAATAGTTAATATATTCATTCTCATCAGCATAATATTCATTTTCCTCATCTTCTAAACCTTCATATATATCATCCATTTCTATATCTTCATCTGATTCTGTAACTTCATCCAATTCTGTAGCTTTATCTAATTCTGTAGCTTCATCCAATGCTGTAACTTCATTTTTCTCAGATCCTAATCAATTTGCTTTTTCTAATCGTTCTACTCTATCATAGTCAAATAAAAGATCATCTTCAGAATCATCTGTCTTGATAGAAATACCACAGCATTGAAATGATCTTTTAATAAGCTCCGGATCTACATTTTTCCAGGCTTCTTTTACTTATTCTGCAACTAATGCATACGAAGGTCATTTGAGTTTTCTAGCTTTA